AGCAAACGGTCAAAGCTCCACAGAAATGGTTTGAAGACAACAAGGTGAAGTTCTGGAGGCCCAGTCAGAGTCCAGACCTCAATCCACCTGGGAATTTGCAGCTGGACTTGAAAAGATCTGTTCTCTCAAGATTTTTGTGCAACCCGACAGAGTTTCAGCAGTTTTGTAAAACTGCAGCATCCAGATGTTCTGGCTGATGGAGTCCATCCACAAAGGCTCAAAGCTGGAAACTGCAGCCGACGGTGAATCGACTGAAATCTGATGTGAAGGAGGTGAATATTTTGCACTCACTTATTTTATATCTTCTATTCATAATTAATTGACATTCCTGTGTTCTGCTTCAATCTGGATTATGATTGTCTGCATTTTTTAACGGAGGCATTTCAAATATGTTCAAAATAAACGTACTGAAGAGTCTTTAGAAGATACACAGAAAAGGTAGATTTGAATTTGACCACAAGATGGTGCTAAAATTTCACAAATAACAGAAAGCTACTCGGTTTGTCCCCGATGAAGGTTTAAACCAAAAGGATTGGAGATGTACAAGTATAGACATGTTACGACCCGGCTGTCCAGGGCAGCTGATAAAGCAAAACAAACATCCAATAATGTGAACGACAAACATGCCAGCATTCAGTCAGTAGAAAACAGTGTTTATTCCCTCAACAAAACACAACACAGTGAAGAAAATTATAAAAAATATTTACAAAAACATAAAAACACATTAACACTTAATTAGTTTTAAAAAAAAGTTTGTTTGCTTATTTTATGGAAGTCTGGAACAAAGCCGAAGACAGTCCAACTGTGAAACAACACTTTGGATTCTGCAAGCAGCTCATGATGTCACCGGGAGTTTTAACTTTCTGGCTGCTTTTCTTTCACTCTGAGCTCCAACTCCTCTCAGTCCATGTCAGCTGGGTCCAGGTGGAGGTCAGCGATGCAGGACTACATCACTCTGCTTCCTGGTCCAACGGCCCTCACAGAACCTGGAGGTGGGTTTTAGCTCATTGTCCAGCTAAAAAACGAACAATATTCCCACTGAGCTCAAACCAGATGGGATTGTGTGTCTGAGCAGGAACCAAAAGTCTCACATCATCACACCAAAGTCCAACTTTCCACTCATCCAGTGTCCATTTCTTTTGGGTCCCTGGTGGGGATCTAATCTACGCTGCTGTTAATTTCTGGGGGGAAAACAGGAACTCTTCCTTTTCCTGCAGTTCCTTCACAGCGTTTGATGCTTTTTGAAGAAACTCTTTTGAAATGTTCTGACCTTTGTGTCTTAAAGCAATAATGGATTGTTGTTTCTTCTTCTGGTCCGCAGAGACTGACAAAATAAATTAAATATGTACCGCTTTGAGTGGAGCCTTTAAAACCCTCATTTGTTTGTTAGAATGTACGGTTAGGGCGGAATAAACCTCAAAAAACGGAATTACTTTGACAAAAAAAAAAAGAGTTTTTTGGTGGAGTAAATCTTTAAAATGACAAGTACCTTCACAAAATACAGCATTCTGGGTGGAATAAACCTTTAAAACAGCATGTTAGTGGAATAAGTGTCTGAAACTATCACTACTTGGACAAAAGTAGTTTTTTTTGGGTTGACTCAACCTTTTAAATTATAAGTCCTTGGACAAAAAGTCGTATTTTGGGTGGAATTAACCTTTAAAACTTTAAAATCTTGGACAGAAAACAGTATGTTGGGGGAGTAAATGTCTAAAACTATAAGTAATTGGACAGAAAGTGGTATTTTGGGTGGAACAAATGGTTGAAACTTGTGCTCGTTAACAGTCGTGTGACTTGGCGGTGGAGCTGCAGCCTTCTCTGCTGCATGAAGACAGTGTTGCTTCACTTGAGCTCGTTCAGTTTTGTTCTAAATGAACAAAATAGCACAAAAAAACAAACAAACAAGAAAAACCCCCGAATGAGCAGGTTTGTCGAAATATTTGACTCTATGAGATATAAAAACTAGAAGCTTGTCAGTCAGTGCACCAAATCCCACAGGACGAGTCAACGTCGCCTCTAAAGCTGCATCACACACATGGAACCCTGTACAGAGGCTGTATTGGTGTTGTAATGCTAGAATGTGCAATAAGCAGAGCACGACCTGGATAGTTCTCATTTTCTAAAACTAATCTAACACAACATTGTATTGTCCTTTTTAAGTTCATCGTCATTTTTAAGCGTTTGTGCAAGAATCACGTACTTTTTCAAGAAGTTGTTCAAAACCATAGACTGTATAAAAGATGGACGTAGCTTCCGTGAGAACATGAAGCCAGGGTTTTGCTACTTCCTGGTTGACATCTTGGATTTTTGGAGCCAGTGACGCAAAAATCGACGGATTGAGAGGCGGGCCCTCTCTGCCCGCCCACATTTACCGCCTTCTGCTCGCTTCGTCTGCATCGTCGCTGCCGACTGTCAATCAAGCCAGCCACGCCCCTTGCCCCGCAACATGTTGACCATTTTCTAAAAATTCAGTATTGATTTATTTTCAGATTGACCACCTGATCTCTGGATTTGACCATGAAAACTAATAAGAAAACAATCCTGAGCTGTAGGAATGCAGAATTTCATGATCTGTGGTCACTTCTTTTCCAATTCCAGTCTATGGGAGCCAGGGCTTTGTGGAGCCAGCAGCTAGTGGACGTAGTGATATTGCAGGTTTTTAACACGTCCAGGTTGGCTTCATTTTTCAGGGCCGGTTGCTACGTCCATCTTTTATACAGTCTATGTTCAAAACAAATTAATAAATTATCAGAATAGTTGGGGAAAGTTGACAACGAATCGATTAATTGCTGCAGCTGTAGCGTTGATAGACACTCAGTGCTTGCTGCCAGTTTGGGTCCTTTTGTGGGGTTTGTTATAGAAATACTTATTATTGTGCCAAAGCATGAAAGCAGAAGCTCAGTTCAGAGTCATTTCTGAGGGAACATGGCCCCAGCAGCGATGGACGTCAGGCCCGTCTTCTCTGCTATCCAGCTGTTGTAATTGGTCACTCTGGTGTAAACGCCGGGTCGGCGCTCCTTTGCACAGCCGTCGCCCCAACTGATGACCCCGAACAGGAAGAACTTGTTGTCGGCTTGGCACACCAGAGGTCCTCCTGAGTCGCCCTGGAACAAACAAACGAGCAGTTTTAGCAAACTGTTATGTAAAAGTAAAAATCAAAATCAAGCCCGGGCGTGTGCAGAAATACCTCGCAGGCATCCTGGCTCCAGTCGGGCCGCCCAGCGCAGAACATGTTGTCGGTGATCATGTTTCCATAATAATCCTTTTCTCGACACACGTCGTCAGCGATGAGGTTCACCAGAGCCTCCCTGAGATACTGAGACTTATACCACAAACCTGCAGGCGAAAACACGATGAAAACACTTCATAATTAATATAATTAAAGCAGGAACGGTCCATTATGTGCACTCAGGTGTTGTAATAGGAGCAGTTCTAAGGTGCTCTGAGGCTCTTTTCCACACTTCAGACCTGTTTTCCACTATATTCAGTTATCTAACGGCGGTAATTACTGTTTATTTTCTTAACAACAGTATGAGCGTGTATTTTTAGAGTTGAATAGATTTCAAACAGCAGAACTTAAATAGTTAGATTATGAAAGAAAAATCTGCACTGAGTCAGCAGAAACTATAATGACTGCAACATGCATGAAGCAGCAAAAACCCAGCGAAGCCTCGACAATTAGCTGAAAGAAATGGATCAGCTGTTATAAAGTAAGGCCCATGCAGATGTACTGCATTGTTTCTGACAGCCAGCAGGGGGCGACTCTTCTGAAGTCAGATTGTATAGAAATGTATGAGAAAATAATCCTATTTCTCACTTAGTTTGTCGCCTCAGTAATCATTCTCCTGATGTGTTTATGGTCTCAGTTGCTACGTTCAAGTCTTCTTCAGCCCAGCGAGGTGTTCGTTTAGTAAACTATGGTCCCATTTACAGTAAAATAGACGATAAAGCAGCACAGAAACACAAGCTAAAGGCTTCACAGAGGCACTGGAGTGGTATCGATCTCCTCGTCTCAGTCTCGACAGCAAATAAAGGCATTTGCCAAAATGTCAAACTTCTCCTTAAGGTCACACATAATAGTGTTTGTTTTTGAAGAAAACTGTTCCCAGCATTGATCAAAATAGAGAAGCTCCACAGAGGAAGTTAAACTGCTAAAAGTAACAAAGAAATGGTTTAAATAATTATTGAAATGATAAGACTACACGGTTAACCAAAAGTAAGCAACAGTTAACTGAGAGGAACTGATAAGATCTTCAGACAGGTAATACGAGCTAGTCATACTCTAGAAATCATTTAAACAGGTAGCTAAAGAAACAGATACATAGATGGGCTAAATTATGGAAATAGCTAGCTCAATACTTAGCATTGGTAACTAGCTAAAAGTAATAAGTAGCGTACGTGATAATAAGTGGTAAGGGATAAATAGATAGAACGATAGCTAAATAGTTAGCTGTAGGTAATTAATTAACTAGTTGAAATTGTAGCTCAATTGCTAGCTTAAATCATTTGCTAAAAGTAAAAAGAAAAATACAGCAAAATTTAAATGATTAGCTCAATGTGATCAGTAATGAATCCAACTGGCAGTAATGGATAAATTACTTCAATAGTTAGCTCCACGGTTAGCTTAAAGCTAAAAGTAGTATATAACTGAATGCAATGAATAAAGTCTTTAAACACTAGCTAACGCTAATGGATGAATGATTACAAAAGTTAGAGCAATGATTTGGATTAATTAACTAAAAGTAATGAATAACTGAATACAACCAATAAATTCTTTAAATAAATGAATAAAAGATTAAACTATGTAGCTAAAGATAACAGACAAATGGCTAAATTGTCAGCTAATTGGTGGAATGGTTCATAATGTAATGGAGCGGGACCATAGTCTTTGGTCTGGGTTTTGGTTCAGTTGTCTCGTGGAGGCGTCCATGTGCTTCCTACTGTTGATCTACTTTGCTTTCAGACAGAGCAGCATCACTCAGAGGACTTTCCTCACCGTAGTTTTCTTTCCCGTATCCAGCGATCTCACAGGTGACGTCGGGCTGGAGGTTCTGCTGAGGCGGCGGCAGGCAGACGGGCCTCACCGAGTCGGACTCCTCAGCACACTGGCCTCCTCGGGCCTTCAGCTTCAGCAGGGCTGCAGGTAATCACACAAGATCACTGCTTTAAATGGGTTCCAGCATCAGCAAGAAGAGCTGCAGAAAGGTTTCCAAAATTCACGCCGTACTTTGTGTTTGAGTTTGAATTTGACTTATTTTGAGCTGGAGTAGTTTTTATTTTACTTTCTTTGTGGTTCCATCTAAAGACAGGTGCTGAGAGACCAAAACTGTGATGCCCATTGGTCGATTGCAGCAGAAACACCAAAGAACACAACCTCAAACAGGCGTTTAACCCTAAACTGAGGTGGTTTTAAAGAGAAATAACTGAGTTTCGAGCGTCTTTATCTTGACCGTCTGTGGGATGGTTGTTTATGAAGCGATACAAGCTGAAACGTGGGGCTTTTTTGGGGTTGGGTTTGGGGTTGTTTTGTTTACTAGTTCCCAGAGTATTTTGTGTTGTTTTCAGTCGAGGTAATGTGTTCATACCGATGTCATTGTTGAAGTTTCCCTCGCTGTTGTCGAACCCTTCGTGGATGTGGACTTCTTCCACCCTGAACGTTTGCTCCACAGCTGGGTCGCTCTCGTTCAGGGCGTTCTTTCCCAGGACGACGGAGAAACGTCGCGCTTTACTGTCAGAGCTGAAATTCACAAAACAATTTTAGTCACAGAGATTTTCTCGGCACCTGCTGCGCTTCCAGTAAGCGATCCGACTTCGTACCCGTCGGGGAAGCAGTGGGCGGCCGTGAGGACCCAGCAGCCGGAGATCAGACTTCCCCCGCAGCGGAAAACCCTCTCCTTGGATTTGCTACGCCAAAATATGGCGGCAACCCAAGGGTGGGATTCCACAGTGGCGACTGTTCCACCCACGATCTTCATCAGCTTTCGTCTGGAGCGTTGGCCGCAAGTCGCATGAGCAGCTGGAGGGTGAAACAGAGTTCAGGACTGGGCAGGAAGAACAAGAAAACAAGATTATCCAGTGAAGACTCACCTGGTTCTGGCTCGGCGGGGGCAGGTGAAGGTGAAGGTGAAGGTGGGGCAGGAACTACAAGAGCAGAGACGTTTTTTAAACACTCAGAAGATATGAAATGTTCGACTCTTTATGCTTCCACCTGAAAACATCGATAAACTCAGTCAGTAGCAACTTGACGACCTTTGGCTCACTGGGGGGGCTGGAGTCTATCCCAGCTGACTCAGGGTGAAGGCAGGTTCACCTGGACAGGTAACCAGCCTATCACAGGGCTACTCTGGATGACTGGTTTAAATAATTAGCTAGAATATATAAATAACTATAAATCCTTGTGTCTCCACCAAAAACCCAGTGTCAGAAATGAACCTTTTTCCTTCCTCCTAATCAGAGCTAACGACCTTAACGAGCTTCCTGTAATGATTCTCGGCTGCAGCTCTGCCAGATCTCATGTAAAACACATGAAGCACATTAAAGCTGCATCCTTAACCAGAGACGCAGCAGGTGGCCTCTTCAGTAAATGTTCCAAAATGGTAGCAGCTGTTTTAATAACAGAGAAAACCCACTCACGTAGGCCGACGCTGCATCGAGGAATATCACAATACTCCCACAGCAGCTGCTGGTGTTTCCACACGTAGCACCACGGACGCCGTCGGTAGTGAATGTTTCTGTTGGAAAAACAACAAGACCGCCTTTAAATTACACAACAGCCCTGATTCTGAAATGAAACAGTGAGTTTCAGTGTTGAGCTCAAGCTGTGAAATATATGAAAACCTTTGGTGAACGACAGAATCCTTCATGAAAACACAAACTTTGATGACAAAGTTTGAGCAGTTTGTGTTGTTTCACCTGCACCAGTGGAATGAGGTCAGATGATCGTTCTCATAAAGCCAGTGATGAAACAGTTCTTATGCAGTAACGGATGAGCAGCGTCGCCGCCGCCATGCCGTCGATCCTCAGACGTAAATATTGTTGTGGTGAATGAAGGTTTGTGTCCTCGCCCTCAGGTTGACCGACATTCTGCTCCGACATTCCTCCATGTCTGGACTGATTCTGGCTCACATCCTCCTTCATGTTGGACTTCAGACGTCGTCCAGACAACTATCTAACTATCTAAAGTAGCGCTAACTGTGTTCAAGTACAGTTTGGGGGCACTTTTACTTGAGTATCTTCATTTTCTGCCACTTTATACATCACACGACAACATTTCAAACAACTTTCTGATATTTTAGAGGAGCTGCAAGGTGGCTCAGTGGTTAGCATCAAGAAGGTTGCCGGTTCGCGTCCCGGTGAGGACACCCGGGATCTTTCTGAGTCTCCATGTTCTCCCCGTGCAGCGTGGGTTCTCTCCGGGTTCTCCGGCTTCCTCCCACAGTCCATTGAGGTTAATTGGTGATTCTAAATTGTCCGTAGGTGTGAATGTGAGTGTGCTTGGTTGTCTGTCTCTAAGTGTAGCCCTGTGATAGACTGGTTACCTGTCCAGGTGAACCTGCCTTCACCCTGAGTCAGCTGGGATAGACTCCAGCCCCCCACGACACATTCAGTAATTCAGTCACATTCAAATGACTGAATTACTATTTGTTAAAATATCAATGTTTGATATTATTTACAGTTTTGAGCTGTTTTTATTGAGCTGTTGTGTAAATTTGGACGTTTATACAAGATAGTATCTGTGATTTACCAAAACAGGGAAAATGTGTAAAATAACAGTTAATTGTTCAAAAAAAATTAAATGTAAAAATTTAAAAGTCTATGTTTCTACAATTTTTACAACTGTTTTATTTTTCATTTTTATTCAGTCCTTAATATACACTTTTCACCCCGAAAAACAGCAAATATATTCAAAATTATGACGTGTTTTGCTGATTTAAATACAGTAAGAACAGTGTGAGTTCACATTCAAATGTCTGAATTTGTGAAAACACATATTTTTGATACTCCTTTACTTACTTACTTACTTACTTACTTTACTTTACTTTACAGTGTTGGCCTGTTTTTATACAGTTATTTTGTAAGTTTTGTACATTTTGTACAAGATATTTGTAATTTAATAAAAACTGAAAATGTGTAAAATAACAGTAAATTATTTAAAACGTTACTTTCATTTTATTTTATTTTATTTTCACGTAGCTCTGTTTGCATAGATATTTTTGCAGAACAAATCTGTCTGATTAAATGAATGAATTCAGATTAAATGAGGCCCACCTGCAGTAGTTGTGTCTCCCTGACTTGACGTCTGAGCTCAGATATCTCTGTCTGGTGTTCTGGTCCCACTGCTCACACGGGAGTCCGCTGACGGACCTGGAAACGGTTCCTCTGTAGTACAACCCGACGCCTTCGTAGCAGAAACCGGGTTTTGCTGCAACAACAAAATTAAAAACAAAGTTAAAAACACGAAAACAGCATGAATGAAGTTTGGCTGGAGGTCCAGTTTCTCACCGTTCTCACAGTGTTTCCCTTCAAAGCCGTCAGGACACAAGCAGAACATGTGTTCACCAGAAATCAGTGCAGGAACCGAGCTGCCTCCGTTCAGACAAACCACACCTGCAGAATGAAGAGAAAGTCTTCAGGCTCAGCGTCCAGAACCAGAAAGCAGCAACGAATGTGGACTTTCTTACCTGAACTTTCAAAGGAGGAGGAGAACGAAGATGAAGACGAGGATAAAGACGAGGAAGAAGACGAGAACGAAGAAGAAGAAGAGAAACTAAAAAAGTTTCTTTCTTCATCTCTCTGAAAACATATTGAAGACAAACATCAGATCAACTCTGACCAAAGAGAACAAATGCAGCGTCTCATGACATGTTGAAGTTCTGACCGTGTGGGCCGTGCACAGAGCCGCCAGCGTGCACATCCAAACCCCGAAACCTCCCGTCCTGATCATGTTGCTGCAGCTCCAGAATCCAAACAGACTTTGCGTGAACGTGCCTGCAGAGCGATGAAGGCTCCTCGGGCTTTATTGTGTTCGCAGGCCGGCTCCTGATTGGCTGACAGCTGGCTGACAGCTGTGCGGCCCACCAACCCCTGGAATGAAGAAATAGTTGTTTGTGGATGAGTCACAGCTTTTAATCCACATCTTTAACTCTCAGGAAGCTCGTCCATGACTCCAGTACGTCAGACTGGACCTGCAGCTGCTGCATTCAACACATTCTGGATTAAACTGAATCTGGATCAGAGATAAAGTCATTAAACGCAGCATGTTGGTGGCGGCGTGAACAATTTAAACCTCAGAACATGTTGGTGTCGACACCATGTCGTGTTGTGTAACTGTGCTGGTTGGACTAATAGTGAATAACATTGGTTTCAGTGGGTTTTTTTAAAGGTGTGTCCAGAATGTAAACGTCACTCATTTTTCCACAGAATTACTAAATTTGGTCTGAACAAGAATGAAACCATGAATCATGTGCGACACTAATGTGGGTCATTCAAGCTCAAATCATCCCGTTTCTTTCAGTTTGCCTCATTTTCATCACAGACGATGCATATTTATGAAGATATTTCAGAATTTGTAGCTTGATAAACCACATAGTGTCTGTTTTTCATGCATTGAAGTCTGAGGTTGTTTGAGCCGCAACATCTCTGAAACTATTTGAGATAAAAACTTGAAAAATAAAAACACATGACAAACAAATATTCTTCATCATATTTGGAGAATCATTTTGAAACTCTGCCTGGTTTTAACTATCTGATAATGTTTCTGTTTTTGTGATGAAAACCTGTCAAACCTGCTCAATCTGTTGTGAAAGTTAAACAAAAATAACTTACTTTTGTTTTCGGGAAGTATTTCAAAATAAAAGTTGTGTGTGTGTAGCTACAGTTGAAACCAGAAGTTTACATCCACCGTATAAAAAGACATAAAACCTTCTTTTTCTCACAGTCTGACACTAAATGTGACTAAACTTTTACTGTTTCAGGTCAGCTAGGATCATTAACATTATTTCTATTTGCTAAATGACAGAATAGATAATGGATATTTTTTATTCCTTCCTTCAAAGTCAGAAGTTTCCATCCATCTCCTCAGTATCTGCTAGCGTTGCCTTTAAACTCTATGACTTTGGGTCAAACCTTCTGGGTTTCCTTCCAAAAGCTTCTCACAACAGTCTGATGAGTTCTGGTCCATTCCTCCTGACAGAACTGGTGGAACTGGGTCAGGTTTGTTGGTCTCCTTGCTCCACTGATGTTCTCCAGGATGGAGATCAGGGCTTTGTGATGGCCACTCCACAACACTGACTCTGTTGTCCTGAAGCCTCTCTGTAGCTAATCTGGAGCTATGCTGAGGGTCATCGTCCATCTGAAGACCCATTAGTGTCCAAGCTGTAACTTCCTGCTGATGTCTGGAGATGTTGCTTCAATATCTCCACATCATGTTCTTTCCTCATGATGCCATCTATTGTGTGAAGGTCACCAGTCCCTCCACAGCATGATGCTGCCACCCCCGTGCTCCACAGCTGGGATGGTGTTCTCAGGCTTCAAGCTTCCTCCTTTTTCCTCCAGATGTACCGATGGTCATTAAGGCCAAACAGAACTTTGGTTTTATGTCTTTTTATACAGTTTATGTAAACGTCTGGTTTCAGCGGTCCGTGTGGTTCAGAAAATATAACTGGTTGACGTCAGTATCAGGAATTTTTTTGTTCATTGGAGCTCAAAGATGGGCTTTTCATGGCAGTTTCACTTTTCTTTTCTTCCTTTTTTCATTTTAACTCAACAATAATCAGATATTATTTAATCTACTTGTCTAATATTGCAGATTGTGAACCAATGACATGATGAGACTGTGACAAGTTCAGGGTTTTTTATTTTATTTTTTAGATGAGATGTATAAAATGTAAGAAAAAAAAAACCTCACTTTTTTTTTTTGAAAAGAAATTATTTCACAAAGTGCCTGACATGGCAAACTTAAAGTTGACAGATGCTATTTTAAATATTTTGAGTTTATGATGAAAAAGTCTCAAACAGATCAGAGCATATAATAGTAATAATAATAATAATAATAAGAAGAAGAAGAAGAAGAAGAAGAAGAAGAAGAAGAAGAAGAAGAAGAAAAACTACTCTCCAACAGTTTCAACAATTAACAATTAATTTGAGTTAAATCAACACTAGAAATAATAATAGATAATAAATACTGACATAAATCTACATAATATTCAAACACACTGACTGTTGTTGCTGTTCTGTTGAGTTCTGTGCACTCCTGTATCCAGACTGTACCTGAAGTATCCTGATGTCCACTTCACTGACTCATTCTGACATAAAGAGTAAAATCACATCTCATCTGACTGTCACAGGTGATGTGATGACGTCATGGTCACGTGTTCTCATACCTGTCACTAAATCTTTTCGTCTTAAATGTAAATTGAAGCTGATTCATCCAGTTAAAGGCCTCAAAACAAATATGTACTTTGGGATCCAGGAAGTCTCCATGTTGAGATCCTGGTGCTGCCTTCAGGGGCCGTGGGAATTATTAAATAGGCAGAAAAACGACATAAAGGCTGATTTATTGTAGTTTAAAGCAAAAACAATATTAGTCACATAACTTAAATTACTAAAAATATTGTCTTGTGGATTTTTTTTATCCAGCTTTTCCAATGTGTTTTATGCTTTTAATTTGTAGACATCAAAATCTTGTTTAAGTAATTTTATTAGACTTTTTAACATCGCATTTAATTTGTACTACTATAGCTATATATAATAATAATTATTAGCTTTCATTAGATTTATTGTGAGTGAGTTTTATTTTTGCTTAAATGTTTGTGCACTTCAGGTGTCCGTTACAATAACTGAATATTTATGCTGCATTTATGTACATCAGTGTTCTTCAGCATTGCTAAATGTGGTAGTTTTAGTTTATAAGCGATTTGTTGTTGTTATTTTTTTATATTAGGCTCATTGTGAAGCATTTGTGTTGCTTCATATTTTAATATTTTGGAAAATTAGCTTGAAATTGTGCTGAAATGACCATTTACAGGTCGCACGTTTACATTTTTCTTCTTGTTTCAGCTCAAAGCAGGTTCACATTGTTTGCCTTTTTATTTATATTCATGCAACTGTGACTTTACTTGAGCTGTTGCCTTTTTGTTTGCTCGTTTTTGCGTTTTTAATTCAGATCAAAGTGAGAATATGTCGGCGCAAGTGCATGAATATCTCTGTGAACATGTATGTTAGTTATTTTGAACGTGCAAACAAATAATTTAATTTATTTTGCATAAGAAACAAACACAGAGCGAAGATTTCTGAGGCTCCAAGCAGCAGCAGCTTTCGTCGACGTGAGCAGTTTAGAGGTTTCCGAGCGGCTCCTGAACGCAGCAGCGCAGCGGCAGATTTTATCCTGCAGCCTCGACGCGGATCCGGCGGACTGGAGGCGGACAGGAGGCTCCAAAATGGGAAACGCAGACACCAAACTTCACTTCAGGAAGGCGGTGATCCAGCTGACAACCAAAACTCAGGTCGGTTCGTGTTTTATTTTGGAGCTGAAATGAAAAAAAAAAACAAAACGCGCGTGTGTTTGCGCTTTAAACGCAGCTGCTGGAGATGAAGTTGCCAGATGGCAGCAAGAAGTTCAGCTCAGATCACACAAAGTGGAGATAAAAAACCATGAGAAACACTTCAGTTAGTGCAGAAATGAAGATTCACAAACAAAACAAACAAATATCCTGAAATCTTGATTTTTTTTTCAGTGTTTTTGCAATTTTAAAGGAACAAAAACGCTCATTTTAGGCCTCAAAACATTAGAATTCTTCCTATTTCACGTTTTTCTTGTAAAACAATCCTTAAATATGTTTCATCAGGAGTGAAAAATGTTAAATCCAGCCTCAGTGTTCAGTCACCAGTGTGCAGATGGAGCAGCAGGTGGATTTAAGGTGGAGCTGAACAGTAGATCAGTGGCAGTAAAACCAGCTCCTGATCGATTCATGTCTGGAGTCACTTTCAATCAAACATGGTAAATAATTCATATTTCTGCAGGACAACCTGATAGTCTTTGGCTTTACACTGTTGGTTGAACAAAGCGAGACATGAAACTTGTTGTTTTTGTTGTGTTTTTTGATATTATGCCCAAAAGATGAATCAATAATCTGAGAAATGAACCATCAGATCGATCAATAATCCCAGTAAATGTGTGCTGGAGCCCTGCTGTTGGTTTACATTTTCTGTTTCTGTTGGATTTGGAGCTGCTTATGAGCAGATTTTCATGCCTGACTGTTAAATTTGTGCGTTTAGAGCTGAAAGGATGAGTTGATAAATCGATTTGACAGAAAATAAATCAGCTGCTGCGCAAATAATCAATAAATTCAAGTAAAAAATAGTCAATATTTTATGGTTATTTAAAGCTGCTGCTTTAGGCTGTTTTGTCCACAACTGTCAGGAAATAAAACAAATATTCAGAGAAATTAATCATCTGGATTCATTATTATTTAAATCAAGCAAAACAAATCAATGTTTAATATTTTTTTAGAATAATAAACTTGATTTTCTTAATTTTTTTTGATCAGGCTAAACAATAACTGTTATTTCTATCTTGTTTGATTTTATTTTACCCAACAATGAATCGATTATTTCATAAATTAAACAGCGACTTACTTAATAAATAGAATAACTGTTGGCTGCAGCAGTGATCCAGAGTTTTAAACTGTTTATGTTGAATTCAGGATCGTTTATGTGCAGATTTTACCGTCTGACTGTCAGATGCTTCCGTTTATAATTGAACTGATCAGTTAATCGATTGATCGCCTGATAGAGAATCAAGCAGCTGCTATGTGGACGATCAGAACATTGTTTAACATTTTGGCTTTGAGGGTTGTTCCCTGTCTGTCTGTTCCTCTGAATAAATTAAAAATAAGAAGGTCTGAAGCTACAACAACCAAAAACACAAACACATGTCTCTGCTGCAGCCCGTCGAAGCCTCGGACGACGTGTTCTGGGACCAGTTCTG